ATAACTGAATACTTGAAGTCCTAGTCCTTCAAAGTCCTGAGCGTCATGCATTCTACTTCAAAGGTTACTTTAGTTGTATGTAATTATTTTGAGGCTTATGCTTCCTCATGAGTCGCACTTTTTGACATAACTGTGAAAAACTAGCCCTCATTGCTAAATTTTATCTATTTCCACAGAGCATTTTTTCGAATCTTAGGTCACTTTTTTCGAATTTTTTATTGAATTTTCAAAAATCTGATGACGTTTTTCAAAAATAAAACGTTTAATCTTGCATTCAAAAGTGATTAATTGAATCTCACTTTATTTATTATATTTAATTGAAGTACGCGTTTTCAAATAAATGTGAAACACCAACCTTTTGGTCCACTGTATCCATTAACTCCGTTAACGCCAGGATGTCCTGGAGGACCAGGTGGTCCTGGAGGGCCCACAGGACCCTGAGGGCAAGGTATGCATCCACTAGGGAAGTGATCGCGCACTGCAACCGTCACTCCATCAGCGCCCCTCAATCCAGGACTTCCAGGTGGTCCATTGTCTAAATTCAGAAGTAGAAAATATTACACGGTCTTTGCATGTTACCTCCGCGGTATCCAGGAGTGCCAGGTGGTCCTGCTGGTCCAGCCGGACAGTGGAATTTGGATGATTGGAGTTTAGCTAAATTCGTGGTTTACAAGTCTACTTGCACACTAAGAGACTAACATGCGTACCTATCATCATTTGTGCTTTTCTCTTTGCCCTTACGCTTGCATCGACCTCAATCACCATATCGTTCCAAACTTGTCCAGATAAAATCTGAAAAGATGAGAAGAAGTGGAACATATGATGTAGGTAACACGGATGAATTTTAGGGGGTCTTCTGAGATCCTATAATTGAAAACAATTTATCCTGAGAATTCTATCCCGCTCTGATATTCATTTATCTATTTTTCCAAAACGTTGATTAATTCTGGTAAATTTGTCTCTTCAGCAACAGCATGCTACAATGCATGTAATCCATACAGAAATTGAATGCAAATAATCGGGAGAACCCTTTGATAAACAACATGTTGCTGTTTGGAAGACTTTTAGCGCTAAATAAGGAAAAAAAA